TTTTTTTTACTCTTTAATTTTGATTGCATAGGTGGAAGTAAAATGTATTTATTTATTTCAAATCTCACTCTGGCCCAGTGATGGGGGCTGGAGACTTATTGTATTTCAAAATCCTATCAAATGTTGCTCCATGTAGCCCCAGGTTGTTTATTATCCCATGTTGATTCAAAGATTCCACGGTGGTTTTTATTGTTTGGTGTAATTTTTGCATTTATTAATGAGACTGTATGTGTGTGTTCCTTTGTGTTTTTGTGAGCCACATTAGCACAAAGATGACTGTGTAAGTGTGCAAGGGGTTGTCAGTGTGTTTCTTTGTGTGTCCTATAGTGAAAGGCAGTGAAAGCAGGTGTATGTGGGTGATGAGGGTGGGGGTGTGTGCGTGTGGGGTGGGGGTATATGCAGGTGCACATGTTCTTGTGCTCTATTGTTCTGAATGGGTCTCACTGCATCTTGTCTTGTAGAATAAGGCAGGGTTCACACAGACATTTGCCCTCCATAAAAAAATGCAGCCATACACATTCATTTGAATGGGAAATGTCACTACAGGGGCGTTTCATCAAATGATGCAGCTTGCAGTAAGCAAGTCGGATTTGGTTGAATGTTTTCTGCAATGTACCATGATGTCATCCAGCAAGGTGTTGTGTTGACATGCAGACACTGGTTCTCACCAGTACATGAAACAACACACACCCAACAGCACTGGCCATTGCGTTGTGTCAGTGTGGTCTGTGTGTGTATTATATGATGTAAAGAGCCCATAGTATGCTTATTTCCAACCATGTAATGTTTAATCATGGGTACCTCTAGATTAGCTTTGCACCCATCATAACTCCAAATAGTCAAATTATTTCTGAACGATAAAACCCGAGAGCCTCCTCCTGAAAATGAGAGGATAGTTCATGAACGCGCACAATTCCTGTTGCTGGTCAGGAAGCTTTGACAACACAAACAAAAAAACTTTGACTAATAAGCTACGTTTTTGACAATGACAATATCTCAAATCCTACCTGACATGTTCGAACCAGAATATGAAAGTGGACAGCACAGCAAACCTCAACTGCATTAATTAATTAGAATTTCTCCTCCATAGATAGGTAATCAACAATATATGTACCAGTGAAAAGAGATTTGTAACACTCTAAACAAAGCGGGTAATTGAGAAACCCCATATTTTAACTTGCATAATGCATAGTAACTTCTCCAGCCAACAATTCTCTCTAACCTTACAGAAACAGCTTATTAAGAGAGAAGCAGTTTGTGTTTTTTTTTTTTTACTTACCCTAAGTCCCACCAAGAATTGGAAACATCACTTCCTTTCAAGTAGCTCCAAGCTCGGTAAATCCAACCAGTGATCGCTGCATCTTCCCCAACAAATCCCTCACATTATAGATGACCACATACATTCCCAAAGTAGTGAAATGAATTCCAACAGGTAGCGTAGCATCGACAGTAACATCACGGGTTATTAGAATCCTCTCACCAACCATCACATGCGGCAGACACACTGGCCTCAAGCAGTCGAAACAAACAGGTACTGTGCTACAGAGGAATCTAGCATTGATGAGCATTGATGAGTAGGTTTCCTGCCATAGGCAAGCTCACACGGATGCACACAGCTTGGAGAATATGACCATTCAAGGAAATCTGTGAGCTATTGCATAAGAGTCTACATAGTTGGAGGGAAAAAAGTTTCACGGGACTTGTATAAACCGAGTTGCTTCTGCATAGAAGTGCTAGAATATATGTACACCTCATTTTTTGAGCTTTAGGTCACATCTAAGATGATAATTCACCATTGTAACATCGTAGATACGTCAGAAAACAAGGAAAAGCAGTGAAACCAACTATCCCTGGGAAAGACACCTGTGGTGACATAGGACCTTGACTTACCTCAAATGTGTTCTGCAACTTCTATATCTATATTTCTTTTTCTTAAATTTTACATTACCAAATACTGAATTCAAGACAAAAAGTAAAGATTAATGACATTTTGAGTTTGCAGCACATAAAACAGGAGCCAGTAGGGAGACTTCTTACTTAACTATACTAAATTATACTTCTAAAATGGAGAAATTACAAATAAACACATTAAGCCTGTTAAAAATAAAGACATAGTTCCTTACACAGTTTCCACTGTTTGAGAATTTATAGTAATCATCTCCAGCTACCAGCTGTGGCACTTAATTCCTCTCTTCGAGGCTTCATACACTGTGACTACCGTTCTATCACTTTTCTAAAATTCCCTGCAGTAGAATGTTGGTGTTTTAACTGTTGTTTGTAGAGCTTCTTGACACTAATTTATAGCCTGGCAACAGTTATTGATCACTCTATTGATTGTTGTATTGGAAGTGTTTATGTGTCTCTGAAAGTTAGACGCCTCCAGTCTGTTCAGACCCAAGATTGTGTCCTCCAGCCAAAATTCAATAGGCTGGAGCCTGAGAAGATGCACACACACCCATACGCACACACACCACCCACACATGCTGTGTTTTCAGTCCTTGTGGGGACTTTACATTTCCTGTAGACTTATCTTAACCTTAACCATAACCAATACTTGCCTAACCTTAACACCTAACACCTAACCTTAAACTATGTTGCCACCCTAAAAGTCCCCACAATGTGAGTGTGTTAACAGGTTTCGGCCCCCGTAATGTAAGTAAAACAAATGGACACACACACAGTTATAGATTCAAGTCTTTTTATAGTTGTGAGGACACTCCTTGATATAATACATTCCCTAGCTACTTACACTAACCTTAACATCACAACTAGATGGCTAACCTAAACCTAATTCTAACCTGATCCCTGAAACCAAGTCTTAACCCTCATAAACAAAACCTTTACATTGGGAGGATTGCCCAAAATGTCCACAATGAATTTTGTGTACTCACATTTTTAGACCCATTGAGCAAAAAATTGTCCTCACAGTAAAATAAAGAATGTAAAACTGTCAGGAAATGTCAGGAAACCAAAATAAGATTGGTTGTGTGAACTCCTGGTTTAGTGCATGAGTGTGATCCTGTGAGTGTTTCTTTGTATTTTGGTTTCTGTAAGTGTGAGCATGTGTGTTGCTGGCCCTCATTTCTCCTCCCTCCTCTTTTAATATTTTATGCCTCCCTTTTGTGATCCTCTTCCAGGCCTCCCAGACCAGGAGGAACCCCAGAGACTCCTCGCAGGACGTTGGCCGCCCCCCCCCAGCCCTCCAACCCGGCGCTACAGGCCCAGATCAAACAAGGTAACTACAAAAGGAAGGGCACTCGCTTTGCACACCCCTTGGGGCTTTTCGGGAAGGGTAAGACGTAGGGGCGGGAGTTTGATAATGCAGCCCACTGGCAATAAAACCCACAGAGAGTTTTGGAAAAAACAGAAATACCGCAGGAAGAAACTGCTGCTGGGTCTTCAGTCAGAAAGTCTTTAAAGGGGTTTTCTGCTGTTTCTGGCATGAGTGAGGTTGTTGGAACCTCAGCTGGGATTCAAACCCAGGACTGCAGCTTTGCATCTAGTTTCTTCTTTTACAAAACTGACTGAGCAGCAGGAAAAAACAAAAAAGGTTTCACATTTTCATACCGGAAACAACACAGTTTAATCATGGCAGGATTTTGTTTGTTTGTTTTTTGCTTTGCTCAGCTTGGGGAGTATGTGGGGGAGAGTCTGATTCACATTCACCGTGATAGTTTCAGATTTTGCCACATGTCATTCACATATGACTACCTACCACACATACAGTACAGCAAGCCTAATGCCTAAAAACACACACAAACAATTAAGTCCATGTGGACACACACGTGCCATGGCTAGCACTCTTGGGTGTTGTTGGGAGGTGAGCTTTCAGCGCTATTGTCACCCCTTAATGGAGACCAGGCGTGACAAGCGCATGGACTTATTCACGCCACATGCCTATTCACAGCACATGCCTATTCACTACAATTCAGTGTGACCTCTGCTCAGCCAGCTACTCCAGCCTTGTGTGTGTGTCAGAGGCTCTGTAAACCAGAGTCCATTTAATACATGAGGAGGCCCCACTGATATACGGCAGGATTTAGAGAGAGATGAACAGAGAGCACTGTGACTCACAAAAACACCAAAAACAATATTTTCTCAGTTTTTGCCTTTTGACCACCCACTGCCAGCAATTTCCATCAGTTTGTGCTTTTGTCTGTCATCACTCTCAGTATTAATAACACTCATTTGAATAATTGAGATCTGGGACAGAAATGATGGACCAGGCAATGAAAATAAGAACCAAATTGTAATAAACCCGAGTTATGCTTCAGTACTCTAGATGTGGTCAAGCTAAACAGCTTTTTCAAAACACTTGTGTATTACTGTTAACCTACACTGACATATGCAACTGTGTTGCTTCAACCTTGAGCTGAAATGATTAATTAGTAATGTGCCTATAATCTGCTATTCAGTGATTCAGTACACATGGTTACACAGAGCAAATGTTGTCAGACTAACCACTTAACCAGTACACTGTAGCACTTTTCTTGAGGATTAAGTAACCCCAGCGGTCTAAATATTACTGTCTTGGTTAACAGGTTGCATTTTTAACCCCTATTTTTTTATGTCTCTACCTTTACAACAACACAGAATTCTTCCCAAGAACACAAAAAATTATAAATAAATAATTTTAAAAAATAGCAATAATGGCTGGACTGAAATGCTAAATAAATGTTACAGAACAAGTCTGAGCAGACAGAACAGAGCATTAACAAGAGACCAACAGGTAAATGTGGCCATGGCGGTCAAAAAAAGTGCTGATTCTATATTCATGTCATGCTGGAATTACAAACATTTAAGTACTGTTCATGTCACTGTTGGCTCTAATTATGTCAGCAAATGTTTTTCTGAAAGGTTTGGTATCCAGCTTCAAGGTAATAAAACAGTTATTTAAGGGTTACAGTAAAAGATACAGTGCTATTTTAACTATGTGCTGTGTTGTGGCATAAGGTATGCTTTATTGTTACATTTATTCAACTAAACTCTATTTGGCTGGTATTTCTGCGTTAGTGTAAATACATTATTTCAGACTTCAAGAAGTCACAGTTTTACATTTTAATGTGCCAGTAAACAAGTCCCCATGTTAGATTTGAATATTAAACTATCATCTGCATATTGGTTTGTTTTATGACCAGCATCCAGCATTCTCTACACTGGCTTAGTAGCTAGTGCAGCTAATCCAGCTAATACAAAGACAAACCTCAGTAAGCCAAACATAATCAAGTCTGACCATTCTGCATGGTCAAACACTTTTTCTCTGGACTTTAGATGGTAGCAGACCACTCGTGCAAGACTGAATTACATCAAGTAATACCTTATAAATAACATTAAAAATCACTTATGTTATGATTAGAGTCAAACACTTTTTCTCTGGACTTTAGAGGGTAGCAGACCACTCGTGAAAGAATGAATTACATCAAGTAATACCTTATAACATTAAAAATCACTTTTATGTTATGATTAGGATGCTGTACAGTATAATATAAGATAAAAAATGAGATCTACCCTCCTCATACAAAAAATTTTCATTTGAAATGTTTTCCTTCTCCGCTTCCCAGTACTAGTAAACTGCCGTCAACTGCCCTCAGCCTTTTTCTCTGTCTATCTTTATAATTGTTTCTTAGCCCTTCTCTTTTTCTCTGCTCTTCTCTCTATTCCTGTTTCTCTTTTTGCCTTCATACTGTTGTACACTGCATGGCTTCAGCCTGCTGCCTGTTCTCTTGAACAACAATAAAAAATACTTTCTTTCACTGTATTTTCATTTTCTTGTATTTGTGCACATCTTTCTTTCACTGTTTCAATCTTTTCCCACCAACTAATGTATTGTTGCTGTAACTATTCTGTTGTCTCTGTGCTACGTCTTCTTTGCAATAGTTGAACTGTTATATGGGCAATATTTTAAATTTTGCCTGTTGCATTTTGCTGCTGGTTGTGTGTGAACAGGAAGGTATTCATTGTTTATGACTGTAAAAAAATTCAACATATCTTTAGTTATGTGTCTTGTGTTTTATGGCCTCACAATTTTAGTTTTGTGAGAAGACCACTTTTTTTCTTGTTTTTCAAATACCCTTCATGAGCATAAAAAAAAATTCAGAAACATCATACTTAATCATTTGATGTCCACAGTACAAAGGTTTCAGGTTTTTGGCCTTAGCATAAAGAAGCATCAAACTTATCTTCTAAATGTAATTAGAAACCCCACATAATATTTACACCTTAAAGTTGATTGTTTTAATCAGGACCCTTAATCAACCCTCCTCAGGATAACTGTCAAGGATAATGATGTTATTCATTCTGTTTTTGATAATTGTTCAATGTTTATTTTTCTCCACTGAATACTGACTAATAAAGTGTTAATGCTACAGTCTGAAACCTTTGTGTCATGGTCTAGGATTTTTGTCAGGTTTGGTTTGTTTGGAGGTAGTTGGTCATCATCTCCAGACTAACAGCTGATTTTCCATCTTTTTAACCAAGTGTTTCCTGGGAGATGAAATATTACCTTTGTTTTGCTGGTGTTTTGTTTTTGACATTTATATCTTGTTTGTTAACTTATATCTACAATATATATGCCACTTTTTTCTGTGTTGGAAGTCTCTTTTTCTGCTTCTGGTTTATATTTAATTTGTTTAGTTTGTCTCTTTTGTGCAGCTCCTTTTATTTTTCATTATGGAGTTTTATTTTATTTCATTATACAACAGCTATTTTTGATTTGCTTGACGCTAAATGGATGAACACTGTCCAAAGGATCTTTACGTACATGAAGATATAACCAATTTGTAGGTAAATACATAATATTTCCGATATTTCTCAGGATCCAGTTATAGGTTGAGCAGAGTTGGAGAAAGTCCAAATTAAATATTTACCAAGTGGGCTGAATCATATTAGCATATCAGAGTTACTGAATCTGACTCCTTGGTATTTTTATCATTGGTAATTTAATCAGTTGTATTACTATCATACAGTAAGTTTGAAATAGTTTTCCTAAAATACATGAGAATACAGTATGTATTTAAAATGGTCTTACAGGAGAATTTATTATCCATCCATCCATTTTCCTCCGCTTATCCGGAACTGGATCACGAGGTCAGCAGTTTAAGCAAAGATGCCCAGACTTCCCTTTCTCCAGACACTTCCTCCGGCTCCTCCAGGGGAATGCTGAGGCGTTCCCAGGCCAGCCAAGAGACATAATCCCTCCAGTGTGTCCTGGGTCTTCCCCGGGGCCTCCTCCCGGTGGGACATGCCCGGAACACCTCCCTAGGAAGGCGCCCAGGAGGCATCCGAAACAGATGCCC